TATTATAAGTTAACTTAGAAATTATATTTAACACTGGTAAAACTGAGTTGTATGGATAGAAAATTTTTGAATTTATGCTGGATATGTGATTATTATTTTCCTTTGTGGTAGCAATGTAAGAATGAATTGAAATTTTGGAGGCTGTTTTTTTTTTTAAAATAATAATGAAACATTACAGTTAAATGTAAAGTCATAGAATATCATTGTTATCAATATCCGATACAAAACAATGGAACTGGACAGTACAAGAAATGGTAACAAGTTTACTATAAGTAGCACAATTAATCATAGCACAGAAAAATTAAAGCATGAATTTCAATTACATGAGTGTTATAAAGAAGAATGGACTATAGCTATTAATAATAAGTTAACTTGTGATTGTTAAAAGGGGTCTGACAAATAAGAATATTTGTAGAGATATTTGGAGAATTTTCATTGAGGATGTATTAATTAAAGGGAAGAGGCATATGCCTTCAAAATAATTAATGAAGTTTTAAAAGGGAAATGGGGCATCATAATTGAAAGAGATTTCTTCAGATGTTTTCAGATGGTCTTGCTGGAAGGGGCCACAGATGTATACTTGAATAGTTTAAGATATTTTGTGTATTTATGCATTGTTTATTTATCTGTTAGTTTTGTATTTATTATATTTTTATATGAATTCAGAAATGATATAAAAGAAAAATACTGAGGATAGAAAATTCACATCATTATTAATTTATATACTGTCCTCTAGTGTTCCCCTCAGTAATTTCTAAAAGTTACCATTTCTAATGTCATGCATGCATCCATTTATTCCTTTTGGTAGAGACCAGTTTCCATAGGGAACTGTTGCCATATGGAAGTTGTGTTCTTTTGGCTACAATAATATATGGCGATCTCTCAGAAAGTGTGGTCTTGAAAGCCTGGATTTAATCCTTCCATGTGTTCTTGCTTGCTTGCCGAGGCTGAAGGAAAAATAGGAAGACTGTACTGTATTTTCTGTCTCTCTCCCTCCCCCCAATTTTGTATTCAGGTCTCAAGGAAATGCTTCAGAAGAGATAGTTTGTGATGAACCTGTGAATGATTCCAGTGAAAGAAATCTAAAAAGGTACTCAGCTTCCTGCAGAAAACAAAATAGTACTTGTCCTTCCACTGAAGAGTACCAACCGATTGAGATGGTTCTACAGGTTTTTCATGGATTTGTATATGAAGACCACAGACACACCTTCTTCATCAAAGACATCTGTGAGTTATGATTTTTTTCTCAGTTTATTGAGATTAATAAAAAAAAAGGCAGGAATTGAAATGTTGCCGAACAAATTGTCTCGTCCTTTCATCTTCTTTATATGGTATAGGCACCAGGGGGCATCATCATTTCCCCATAAGCAGCTCCGCTCCTGGAAAGCAAAAGCAAAATGTGTGCTGCTTATATACTGCCCCATAATGCTTAAAACACTCTCGTGTTAGTTTACAATTTCATCATGCAGGCTACACATTGTGCCCCCCCCCCACCTGCAGTAAGCCGGGTACTCAATTTACTGACCTCAGTAAACCTCCACCTGGCTACCTGGATTTGTACCTAGGTAGTGAGCATAGTTTTGGCTGCAGGGCTTCAGTTTAAATGCTGCACCCCAAGGATGATCATTTTCCAAAACAGATTTTCATAAAATCCGGATAATGGTGTTTGAAAATCAAAATAATGCAGTGTAAATAATGGAACAAGAAAAATGCTGAAGTTACTAAATTAGTGGTGCCTATCTTGTAAGAAGTTGGCTGGATAGCTCTGTGGTTTCAGTATCTGGCTGTGAAGGCAAGAGGCTGGGAGTTTGAGTCCCCACTGAGCCTCCTGTGAGAAGAGCCAGCCTGTGTAGCCATGGGCCAGCTGCACAGCCCTAGGTTGTCCTGTGTATTCTGTATCTGGAAAACCATAAGTCAAAATTGGCTTGATGGCACATAATTATTATATTATCTTGTCAGAAATGTCTTGGAACTTTATTTGAATAGTCTTTTGTGTCCCTGGAATGGCCCGTTTGGGGTGTTTTATAAAAGTGCTTTGTTATGTGCATACTAGAAGGTCCCTTATAGTGGGACACAGATATCAGCGTTTAAATCTTTTCTTCTAAATTTCCCTTTCTGTGGTGCTAGCTAAATAAGAGAGACCAGTTTGGGGGTCTACTTTCCAGCTTTGATTTTCTTCTGGATGTTATAAATGCAGAACAACATAGTGAAGTCTGAGAACCCAGTGGGACCTTTTTGAAACATACACAGCCAAGCGCTGGCCAGAATCTTATTAGGTTTGCACAACATAAACTCCAGATTGCACACCCAGAGTGCTTGATCATTCTGTTTGGCTGTCACGCACGGAGACTTACTCAAATCACACCTCAGTTGTATACCTGGTTACACACCTCACAGTATTGTCATGTTCCAAAGGAGCATCCACATTCAGAGGGCTAGCCACCACTTCACCTGTCTAGCCTAGAAATAATGGAAAAGCTTTTCTATTTGATAGAAAATTTGTTGGCTGAAGGGACAGAAATAGATAATAGCTCTCTTGGATAAAAAGTCTGTCTGCTAGATGTTACAGGCGATCTTACAGTCAGCTACAGTGATCAGCGTCATTTTAGAACCTGTTTCACAATGTTATAAAGCGTTTCTCTTGTCTTTAAAGAGCTGTTAGCTGAAATCCTGTTGTGTAGTGTGGCAAGTTGCAAACGAAGTAAGTCCACTGAATCAATGAAATTCACATAAAAGTTGACTAACCAAATCCCCACTGATTCAAGGAGCCTACGCTAAGTCACAGGATTTTAGCCAATGAGTAAATGTGAACATGTGCAGATACATGCACACACACACACACACACACACACACACACAGAGAGAGAGAGAGAGAGAGAGAGAGAGAGAGAGAGCTTCCTTTGAGGTAAAATAGACTGACTACACATGTATCTATGTCTGGATCACAAAAGCTCTTTAATAAATATCAGTAATTATTGATATCATTGTTGCTGTTTGTTCAATGTATAAAGCAGGCAGTTCATTGTGTATACAGTGTAAAATGAAGTTTATTTAATTTTCACTTGCAGTAAAGCCTGACATATCTGAATGCTACAATAACAAGGGCTTATTGACATGGACACCGCCCCAGACTTGGAGCACTCCAATTTCTTATTATGGGCTGACGTACCAGATAAAAATGCATGGACAGGTAACCACTAAACAATGGTATTCCTTTCCAAGTGGAGGGGGCTTTGTGTGTTTCCCAAACCTCCACAATTCCTACTCTTCAAATAAATAAATAAATAAATTCACGAAGCGCAAATTGCACATCAGTCATCTTCTGGGGAATGCTATTTGCCCGGTACACATATTTTTGTATACCGTACAAAGACTGTTCTAGGCTTCAAGATGCATTTTTTTAAAAAAAGGAAACTGATTGATGGCCCTTTCTTGTTTCTTGAACTGGCTTTTTAAAGTCTAAGAGAGATCACAGATGGAGCAAAATTCAGAGCATAGAACAAATCACATACACCAAGAGACCTATGTGGTGTTGCACTTGGGGGGCGGAGCTCAAATCAATTCGGGAGTGCTGGAGGGAGTGCCTCCAAGGTCTGGCAAGCATTTTTTTTCCTGACTGACTGGCTGCCTGAGTGGGTTTTTTTAATGGATTGTTGTACCTTACTGCTTTGAAAGTGGTTTTGGTGTTGCTTATGTTTTTGCACAGTACTTGTTTGATCTTTTTTAGTATTTGTATACTCACTGTTGTTAGCTTTAATATTGTCTTTTAATGATGTAAGCCACATTGAGTCCTTTTATGGAGAAAAGTGGGATAAAAATATTGTAAATAAATAAATAAAAATAAAATCTTCCTGAAGTGGAACAGACAACAATCTCGTTCTGTAAGTAAATTGGCCTCTCTTACTGTCCAACAACGATCTAATGAGCTCTGAGCCAAATTAAGAAACAGCCTTTTCCTACAATATGGCAGTGTCTACTGAAAATATGAGAGGCAGGATCCTGATGGCAGGTCCCATCCACATTCAGTAAACTAGCCTCCAGTAGATCCTAAGTCGTACTACAGGCTGATCTAGAATGCTTTGTCATTCACTAAAATGGTTTCTGCTTTTATTTTTAGATCTGTGAGGTTTCTAGTGCTACGATACTTCAAAATGAAAATACATTAAGTTGCTACAACCGAAGATGTTCACGCGAGACATGTGTTATTCGATCCAGGGATCGCTATAACATAAATTCTGCTTGGAGTAACTGGTCTTCGTGCAAGTACGATCAAATATATTCTTGATTGCAGTATTTCAGTATTTTGGTGCTTGAAGGGCCTTATCCTTGAAAACTTCAGTGTTCTGCCTGCTAGCAATGTCCACTGGATTCAGACAAATCTGTTATCCTAAAATGAATTGTGCTGATTCAGGCATATTCAGGAGATAGCTGAATGTGAAGTGAGATGCAGTCTCCTTTTCAAGAAATGGACAGGAAGTTTCGCAGTTTCTGAGAAGTAGAGAAATGCCATCCCCCTTTCATTAAAAGGGTTGAAATTTTGCCCATTCGCTGAACAATGGGGGTAACAGTACCAAGTAGATTTATGCCATGAAATTACCAGTTTTTTTCCCCACAGAATTGACAGTTCTGCTTAAATTATATTGGCACTAAATGACCTAATGATCTAAATGTTTTTGGGGTTTTTTTTTGCTTAGATATTTTTCTGTTGCAAGCTGCCTGGAGTTCTTTTCTGATGTACTCTAAAATAAATGTTAAAATAATGTAATTAATAGAATTATTCTTTTAAAAAATTAATAATAATAAGCAGATATTAAATTATTAAATAACAACTTATGAGAATATTTTTCTTTAGGAAATTATTTACATCCTCACCAGTAGTACTTCTATATAATTATTTTCAATAAAAGCCAAGAAGAAGTAAGGAGTTGTTCAAAAAGATAACATGATAGTAGAAAAAAAAACTTGGTTCATGTTATTAGTGATAAGAGGGCTTGTGTTAGATCATCAAATATGTATCCAATGGTAATTCAACATTTTATGTTCCTCCTCCACCAATAATGTTTCTTTTTCTTTTTCAGTAATGGAATGAATGACAAGCCATCCCATCACAGGCATGAAGACAAAGCTAAAATCGAGCCATGCAAATGTCAGAAGAATTAAAACTGACAAGAAAAATAGTAACAGTTACTGTTATTGGCCAGATTTGACTTGATGGCACACAGCATAGGCATTTGCTGTTGCATGATGAGTCAAACTAACATTTTATACTGAGATTATTATCTCATGATGATAGATATGAGTATTCATAATTTATTGTTGTTATTTGTAGCAATAGTAGGAATATTTTATATTGCACTTCTTTGTTCTCAGAGCTGCTAGTGTTTGGTATTATTATTATTATTATTATTATTATTATTATTATTATTATTATTATTATTATTATTATTATTATTATTATTATTATTATTATTATTATTATTATTATTACTATTAATAATAATAATAA